CTATATATATATCTATATATACTATTCGCTTCAGTTTCTGCTCTCGAAGTGTTAAAAACGTAAATTATATTAATCATTATCATCATCTTTTACTATTATCAATTCCTTAGCTTTACCCTTTATTATTCTATTTATTTTAATCCCGCTTTCTTTTCTTTTGCTTTTGAATTCTGGGCGAGATTTGTCGAGTTTTAGCAGACGCTGACCAAATTCGTGCATTCGCTTAACGTTCAGCTCAGGTGATGTCCTTGTACGTGAGCTGAAGCAGTTGTTGTTGTTGTTGCTGGAATTGTCTGTGTTGGTGTCCTGTTGGGCACTCGAGTTCGCTGTGAGTCTGCGAGCTTGATCTTCGCTTGATTGGCTTCTACCCCTCTCTGTTAGTTCCCCTCTCTGATCCAGCTGCAGCAGACGCTGATGCAGCTCACGTTTGCGTTGGCTGCTCGATATCTTGGGCTTTTGTTGAGGCGCTTCCTTTGGGCGTTCCAAATTCATGAGACGCTGGCGCAGATCGCGCATTTGCTGGGCACGCAGCAGGGATGAAGAGGAAGACTGTCGCCCGGACTGCTCAGCAATGAGGTTATTTGACTTGGATTTATTTACTTGAGCGCTTGCCATGTCCACCTTCATCAATCGTTCACGCAGTTCGTTCACAGTCGAACGACGATTATTTGATTTGGCTTCGGTGGAGGCTGCGGCTGAGACTGGAATGCATTGACAGAACTCCAAATGCTTTTCACCTCCCACTAAAATAGTTTATATATTTAATAGAGATATGCCAATTAGAAACAAACATATTTACAACTGTTTATCGTCTGCTGTGTTTCATCGCATTCCTGTTTTATTTCCGTATGCAGACGCTCTTCTATTTTAATGGGTCCTATGTCCATTTCATATTCTGGTACTTCATAATCATCCGGATATTCCTTCTTAATGCAGTTTATATCCATATATTGCTGCATTTTCCAAAAATTGTTTCTCTCTTAGGAATACTGTAAAACAAACAGACTTGTTTATTCCAGCTGTTTCTAGAGATGAGACGCAAGTAATAAAGTTACCTATCGCAATCCGTAAAGTCACGCCAATTATATCGATTATTGGATAGCGCGAAAATTTAAATTGTCTAGAAAAATAGAAAACATTATAGCTTCTTCAATAAAATTACTAAATAAGTACTTTCAATATGGGAGAAAAAAAAAAAAAAAACAGAAAAACAGAAATTAACGCCTTAATTTAACAAAAAATTATACGATAGATAGAAGCTGTTATGTTAATGATTTAATTACGTCCATTATTAATATTAGTATCTTTTTACCTGTGACGTCACAAATTTTCACAACTATCGAATCACCACTCAATCTTCGTGCACATATCGATAGTCTGCGAGTGCTTTGCGCCTTAGCAACGATCCCTAACCGTTTACCGTTTTAAATTTGTCGGCTGTAAAATTTGTCAAGTTTTGCGTGCGGGTTTTTGTGTTATAAAATGCCAATATGAATTGSTGAATAAATAAATAAGTTGGTCAAAAAAGCATAAGCTGATATAAGTGCGCATATATGTAATTGTATTTATACCTATTTAATACATATTTAAGTGCTGTTCAACTTAGCTGCTGTAGTGAAAATAAAAATATTTAGAAATAACGGCATATTTTGTTCTTTTTTTTCCAGTGAATTGCATGCATAGTTATATACAACATATGTGCATGTGTAAGTATGTTCGCAGTGGTAAAATTTAAATAAATTAAACATAATTAAATTAAATAATGCAAATATGTTGCAATTCAATTAAATTTTTGGGTATTGCAATTTTGAGTGTGCTTAATTTTAAGAATTGCATAAAAGAGCAGTAGAAAGATTCGCGAACGAAGGATAACTTCGAGTAATCTTCGGCAATTATACTTCGGTTAACGCGTTTGTGTTAGTGTTTGTGATAATAGCAAAGAGAAAATGCGAATGTGTGACTGCTTTGGAAATATGAGAGTAAAAGAGACAAATGTGTGTGCAAAAAGTGTGATGAGAGTTCCAGTATGCAAGCAAGATTTATTGGAAGTGTCTATTTAATGAAGCGAGTATTGGAATATTTGATATCAAGGTAAAGTGAAAAATTCTTGCGCAATTTACAATTTATTTTAATTTTTAATTTGAATTGTCTTCAATACTATAAATATTATATTGTATATCAAGGAAAAACACATTGAATTGTTTTATAATTTATTTTATTTTGACATTTTACATAAAGTCAGCTAAAGCTAAATAAATCTTATAATTGTAGTAATAGGGGGACTAGAAGATTATGCTTCCACAATTAATATCACGTAATATTCTAAACAAAATAATCCATTGATAGTCATTAACACAATTCTATAAACTAATTGACATCAGGAAAAAAGAAAAAAAACATAAGATTCGAATTTTTCATGTGTATAATTTAAAAATTCCTATTAAAAAATTAAAAATGTGTTAAATTTATATTTATGCTGAATTTTTAATATGACAATTATGTCTGAACACTTTCAATTCCAATAAAGATATTGCGTTCCATATAATTTTTTAGTCCTAGTTAATGTTCGTAAAATTTAGAATATATTATTTCTCATCTAGTCCTCCCACATACCAATAGAGCTGTTGTTCTAGACAATGTTTTTGATTTGATAAAGCTGGACAATGTAGCACACTAAAACTACTAGAGAATTGTAATTTTATTTGTAATTAAACTACATATTTAAACTAATTATAATTATTTCAATTGTATGTTTATTTATTTTTTACTACAATAACTCGCTGGCATGYTTTAGCCAAGCGCTAGAAAGTCGCTGCATTTAAGGTCTACAAATGATATATATTTTACATAGTTTTTAAAATATATTATTATTATTATTTATTATTTTCTTGATATTGCCTTTATTCAAGTATTATATGTTGACTAATTTGATAATTTGATTTCACTTAAACATTAGTCTACATATTGGGCTAATGGTAATGCATATTTATGTGTGTTCGTACCACCTCTCACATGACATACATACATATTATTTTATATGTATATTCAGTATTTAGACTTTTAACCGCTATACGCGCGTGGGTGTTCCAAAGATGGGGACGTTGTTGCGTCGCTGGGCCAGCGGGGAGGCGGGCACTGGCATCGGTCCGTTGTTGTTGTTGTTCAGTCGACGTTGTTGGCTATCCGAATGGGCACGTTCTACAAGAATTGATATTCTATCTATCAGATAATGTGTCTCTATATGCATATACATCAATATATACATATATCATGGGGTATAACTGATTTGGGACATGCTTGTTTGGGTATTTCGGTTCTTTGTATAGGATCGCCGCATGCAATATTTTGTTCGTTCAATCATTTATTTACCACATATTTTCCGTTTCTTCTGCAATTCGTTAACATGCAATTGAAATAAAAAATAATAATACAATAT